AAATATGTTTTAATGCTGTTGTTCAGACTAGAGGATGACCGCATTAAAACTGAGGTCTGTGGTTGATTTTTCACCTAACTGTGTCATGAGCAGGTGATTGTTGTGGTTAAAATGGAACCAATGAGGACCCAATATGTTCGTACTGTCTGCAGCGACACTGTTCTCTTCCACCCTGCTATGTGTTAATATTAAAGACCCAACTGAATAACTGCTCGCCTTCCAAAGCCTGTATAAGAAAAAAATGTATACGGTTACTAAAATAGTTCCTGAAGCAATTTAAAGCGAAAAACAGAAATCGTAATTCAATTTGGATATTCAGATGTTGTGTGTTATTGTTATTCTACCCTAAATTGGGACCATAATTTACTAAATGGCTATACGAAAGAACTTAAAACCAAGATATGAGACCATAAAAATAATTGAAACTGTTAACTGAGATAATAAAACATTGAGTGATTTGTTCCAGGTACATTGCCACTTCAACATAGAGGCATTTTTTACAGTCTTGTGAGGTCCGACCCCAGTGTGTGTTTGATCTGTTCCTTGCTGCTCCACTGACCTGAAGCTGTACTGCGCACGCAAGCACCACACACACACACAGAGGAGTTCAAGTCAAGGAGAGAGAGAGTGAGACGGAGTTGATATTCTCTCAGCGGTGTGGTGAATGTTTCACAGGACTGACAATCTCCTCAAGGTACACAGACACACACACACACACACAACAACCACACACACACACACAGATTCCACTGGCTGTGTGAGATGAGTTTGGATTGAGAGAGCAGAGCGAGTAGAAATGAGGAAGAGGAGGCCTGCTGTTTGTGGATGATGTCAGAAATGAAATCATGAGTCACTGATGTTGAAGTCAACGTTTAATTACATGTTTTGATTTTGTTGAGTATAAAAACATCACATTCATCTCTGGTGTGTTTGGTATGTTTACAATATATCAGAAGAAACACAAAACATAAAACACAGAGTTAAGACTTACAGTGACTACTCTTTGTACTGATGGTGTACCAGTAAACAGGTATCACAGTATTAAAGTAACTTGATTACTTTACGTTACTTTTGGATTACCTCGAAACTAAGTATAAGACAAGAGAAGATAAATATCAATTAGATGACATGTATTCTTTAAAACAACAGGATGATGTAATGAAAACAAAATGTAAAACGAGAATTTTTAGCATCAAAAATGTGTCATCTGGTGAGACCTGGTAGCTCACCCGGTGGAGCTGCAGCCCCGTGGACCGAGGCCGAGTCCTGGTAGCTGCAGACACAGATTCAAGTCCAACCTTTGACCCTTTGCTGTGTGTCATCCTGTCCCCCTTTCCTGTTGCTCCTCAGCTGTCACTATTGATTAAAGGCAATACAGTTACCTTTGTTTGTATCCTGATTACCTGCCAGTGTGTATCTGTACTTACATGTAGTACCAGATGTTAACAAGTTGTTAGAGTTGTTAACAGGGCTTTTTTCTCACTTTTTGTATAATTAGAATATAAAACTATATATTTTTTTATATGTATTTTTGTTTATCTTTATCTGTTTTTCTCTTTCATTATTTCTCTTATTGTCTTCCTGTTTCTTAAAAGACAATAAAGAGATGGTTAGGGAATTAGGGGCTAACACTATAGGAACTTGAATTTACACTTTTATCCTTAAGAGCCAATCAGAAGTCACAAATGAACCTTGACCATCAACGTTTGCTGGTGAACTGAGTGACTACAGAGATGTTTTGTGCAGGTCTTGCTGTGGTTGTGACACCTCTGTGAGGAGGCGTGCTGAGTTTTAAAAGTTATGAAATGACACATAGCTCTTTTTCAATGACTGTATAACGTTTGTTTTACCTTTACTGCTCATGACAGTTATAATGTAACCTGTAGTCCACAATAACAACAATGACCTGCAATCAGTTTGAATCCACATACACTGTCGTATCCCATTCTGTAAGCAGGCCTATTTACACACTAACATAGAGCCTAATATAGTTCCTGACATTACTCTTTTCCTTAGACCTTTGCATTTACCTGAAAACCCTTTAAAAGAAATTATGTAGTTTCTAGTGTATAGGGTAATTTTGAAATAACTCACAGCAGGTTTATAAGTCATTACAGATCCCCAACGACAGAAGAGGTACCATTTAGTTAAAAAAAAAACAGTTTAAATTATTTTTAACAGTTCCCCTTCTTCCCTAACTTCACACACTTTTTTCTTATTATAGTTTTATATTTTTAATTAGATTACATTTTGTTTCTAATAGTTCACAGTGCGTTCACGCTACTGGGCATCCCCGCGGAGGTAAAGAGGAAGGTCATTAGAGTCGTTACTAAAGCTGCAGAGTAAAGCCGCCAGGTAGCTGTGGATTAAGAGGGTCGGTCCGTTGGCTGCTGGGATACAAGTTGGGGTCGACTGGGTCGTCTGGGCGAGGGTGTCTGATGTCTAAAGTCCCAAAACACCCGATGACTCCAGGTTACATCACTGATCTGCACTCCTCTTTATTTTTAACTCAGTTTAGTTTCTGTCAGTTTCCAGAGCAGACTGGTTTGTTTTAATTTAGTTTTTAATGGTTCAAAAATGTTTGTAGTAATTTTTTTTTATTATAATATGAGGGGTATTTGTCAGGGGGTTCATATTCTAAGGTCTGAATAATGTATTACAAAAATGTTACAAAATACTTAAAAAGCCTTTCTGAATATAATTTTTATTTTATTAGTTTTGTTTAGCACCACAATATTGTTAGTTAATTAGTAATAGTTATTTTTCAGTAAACTAAAATGTTTTTCACCCCTTTTTTCATTTTAGCTTTAACTAACTATAATAATCTTGCCTTGTACCTACATTTATATATCAGTACATACTGCTACACCGTACTAGGGTTACACTGTATATTGGGAAGAATTAAACTGTATGTTACACCTCATGTTAACAGCTATAATGAAAGTCCTGCTGAAACACAAAATTGGTAAATTCAATAAAGATAAAAATGTCACTTGAGTCGTGTCATTTGGGTTGTGAATAAAGTTTCTTGTGTCTGCAGAGTTAAAATGAA